CATCGCAGAGCGGCTGGTGGGTAGGTAGGTAGGTAGGTCACTCCTGCGCAGCGACAGTCGCAGTAGGTGTTCACTCTGCGGGCTCCAACAGCTTCAGACTGCGTCTTGCATACCAAACCACGCACAATCAAAGACCGCGTTAGTTTCACTCTGCCTCAGCCACAAACATCGCCGCATCGCATGGGATCGCCATCGCCGCCCTGGTACCACCTCGCATCGCAACCTTTCTAAATTCTTGCCTGGCGCACGCTGCTGATACGAGGGCGAGGGCGGCCGCTCGGGCCTAGTGCAAGGAACGTGAGCGCCGCTGTGCATGGGTTGATGGTGGTGATGGTATTTCCCGATGACCTCACCGTGACCCGCCCAGCCTCTCGGTAACTAAACGAACGGACTGCGAGCAACCGAGGGGGGCGTGACTGTGGAGACTGTAGTTTAATTGGATCGAATGGGGTAAAGTTTGCTTGGGTGGGTGCTTCGTTCGGTGTACATCCAGGATGAGCGAGACTGGGGCGTGCAAACGGGCGTGCGATCATCGTGCAGTGTCTTTCCCTTGTCTTGTGTCTTTGAGTTTGTCGGCTGGCACCTGCTTGCTTTCTACACTCTCGATTCTTTCGGGACTTTTTGCTCGCTTCGCTCTCACTTCACCTTTTCTACGAGGGCTCCACTATCGTCGTCGACGCTGCGATCTTGACACCGACTGCAAGGATTGATCGAGCTTTTCTGGTATCGCCTTTTCACCGAGCAAGGGACCCTTCTGGTACACGCGCATTATGCCTACTCTCAGGTGGATGCGCGCTGCTGCTGTCGCTGCTCTTGCGACACATGCGACCGCTCAGAAATGCTGTAAGACTTACTTGACCTCATCGCCGAGCAACAACTAATTGAACAGACTACCCCAATGGCAACGAGGCGCCGGATTCAGAAAAGCCCTGCTCGTCAGTAGAGGGCTCTGCTTGCTGTCCGGATACCTGGGAATGTTTGGACAATGGTCTCTGCCACTTACCGGCCGGCAACCTGTACGGCAGATACAGCTGTACAGACAAGGACTGGAAAGCAGAAGGCTGTGCCTCGAACATGTGCACAATCAATAACAGTAAGTACGTGGAATTCTCCAATTGATCATTGCTAACATCCAGCAGATGTGAAAGCTGGTGGAGGCGAGTCGATCACACAATGCAAAGACCACGATGACCAGTGGTGCTGCAACGCAGACAACGTAAACGTAAAATGTTGCAAGGAATCACCATCGCCACGGCCCTTCTTCGCGCTGCAGGACGGAGAGGCGTATGCGACAATTGGCCAAAATCAAGCATCAACTGCTCCTAACCTGGCGACTATTACCGGTCTGGCGTCGAGCGGCGGTGGATCAGGAGGAGGAAACCAAGCATCAAAGACGACAGCAGGAGGATCTTCAGGTTCGCCCTCTACCGACGCCCCAAACTCCGGTTCCGCGACTGCTACGGAAGAAGACGCCTCAACCACAGCCACGCCCTTCAGTTCCGTCTTCCAAAGCCTCTCCACAAGCGCCGGCGGCGGCGTCGTAACAATCCAAAACACCGTCCTCGTAACCCCGACCCCAACCGCCGGCTCCAGCAACGCCAACAACGACTCCTCATCCTCCGGCAGCTCAAAATCCAACCTCGGCCTCATAATCGGCTGCGCAGTCGGCATCCCCCTCGCCCTCGCCCTCGTCGGCATCATCTTCTGGCTCCTCCGCAAGCGCCGCCAACAAAAAGCGAATCCCTACCACGACCCAGCCTCCGAAGTCGAGGGCGATAGTCCTCTTGTTGGTGGTGCTGCTGCTGGAAAACTCAACAAGAGCAAGAAAGAAACATACCACAATTCCCGGCCTGCGACCGCGGAAATCGACGGGAACCCAATTGGCGCGGGGCGCGCAAATCGCGTGTCTGAATTACCGTCTGGAAACGGGTTTCAACCAGGTCATCAGGGCACGCCTTACGGACCCGACGCTGTTGGAATCGGAGGCGGAAACGGCGATCCGAATAGGACGACTTGGGATACTATTCCTCCGCAGTACTCACCCGCTCAAGCTGCTTTCACACATCCTGAGGCCACCGAGCTGGCGGATACGAGTGTGCATCCGGTGTTGAATGAGAAGGGCCAGCCGTATCAGGCGTATAGGCCACCGCAGCCTGTGGCGGAGCTGCCGAGTGTGACGACGCCGCCGGAGGATGTGGAGAAGCAGATGCATCATCGGTAGAGCGTGGATATGATATTGGGTGGGGGCGTTTTGGGAGTATACACAAAGGGATGGGATATGGGGCATTTCGGTCTTCTTTTTCGTTCTTGAAGCAAAATATAGGGATGATACCATGCACGGATTCTTTTCGTGTGTAATGAGTACGGTTTTCTTGAGAAGGAAGGTAGAGGGAGATGGGGAGGGAGATAGTGATCTAATCTTGAAATGCGAGTTTCACGTAACTACCTAGGTATGTTGAATCTCCAAACTTCCGATAGACCTCAATCTTCTATCTTTTCGCGTTTCAGTCGATTATTGTGCAGTGTAACTACGTTGATAACACTACCCATGTAACAATCGTGGATCTTACGCGATATATTTACGCTCAATATACTCAGATAACAACCTCGCTTTTCGGTGAGCTTGATGAGGAAAGGCGGTGTGTGGGGAAAGGGCAACGAGTCATGGGCCGAGGCGGCATGTCGTCAGCCCTTGAGCCCTTGAATCTCGACCGTGAGATGCGAAAGATAAACGTGTCGCATCCGCCATTGTCAATAAGACACAAATCCTAGCACTATTTCATACCTCTACAGGCACCCGTTCGAAGTTCACCTATCTTTGACTATCATGATACATCTCCCTGACGAGTTGATTCTCCATATCATCTCCTGTAAGCATCCGTGCCCATCACGCGCATCCCCCACCCAGCGCTGACCCTCCCCCAGACCTCGAACCCTCGGAGCTCGTCGCCCTCCAACACGTGTCGCGCCGCTTCCTCAACCTCTCACGCGACAACAACCTCTGGAAGTCGCTATGCTTCACCCACTCGGTCGCCGAGCGCCGTCGCCGCCGTCTCGAAATCACCACCGACATCGACCCCCGCCTCGCCGAGCTGATACGCGCCGCCGACACTCTTGCCAACACCTTCGATACCTCTATACACGATGAAAGCGCGCCAAGCGCTGAGTCACAGCAGGAGCGCAATCAGGAGAAGCGGAGGCAGGCGCTGATTGCGAATTGGGATCCTAGTTACCCTGACGAGAAGGTGAATTGGTACCAGGACTTCATACAGCGGCATGCCGAGCAGAAGATTAGCTGGTTTCAGGATGCTGGGACAGACAAAGACGAGGGGGCCATAAGGAGGGAGGCTACGGGCGCGGGCATCTTGTTCGACGACGATGGCCTAGCAGACAAGCTCATCGCCCCTCTCGACGACGGCAGTATCAGCATCTGGGACGCCTCAGCGAGCAGCGACCGACAGGGCAAGATGTTAGCGAAGAGCGACATTGGGCTGCTACCAGGCAGAGGCTCAGACCTCGACTACGACACGCGCCTCACACAAAGCCAAGCCATCATGACCGAAACAGGTGCCGTTGAATGCGTAAGCATCGACAGCAAACTCCACAAAGGCTTCTTCGCCGTCAAAAACGCCCTCAACGAAGTCGACCTCAACACCCTCCAAGTCGTCTCGCGGACGCCGTACCCCTTCCCCATCACCGCCCTCTCCGAAGCCCACCACCGCACCCCCCTCACGGTCGGCACAAACTGGACGCTGCACCTCCACGACTCGCGCAAACCGCCCGCACCGCCTTCCTCCGTCCGCTGCGAGCTCATCGGCGGCCCAACCGACAGCGACTTCTCGCGCCTCGACACCGGCGACTTCGACGGCCACGTCTCGCTCTCCCAGCCCGGTGCGCTGTCTATACTCCACCTACCTACAACGCGCGACTGGGATGGAAATGGCGATATCTGGGTCGCAGGACGCTTCACCAGCATGTTGAACTTTGACCGGAGGTCTTTCCCTCGGTTACGCGGTACTGTGCATTCTGGCGCGAGGCTGTCTTGTATCACGGCTATACCGCATCCCTTTGTACCACAAGATCTCAGACTGGGTCGACCGTATAGCAGTCCGGCATTGTTGCGCGACGCGAAATCTACAGCGGGGTACACGTTGATCGCAGCGGGTGAATACAAAGGCAAAGGCTCGCTGGAATTATACGGCCTCTCGAACGAACCGTCTCGTTCCATCAACTCGAGCGACAGCCGCACGACGCGCAACCAGAAAGCGTATTATCAGAATCGTCAGACGGCTAGTAGTTCCAAATTACTGGCTGTGGCGCCGCAGGGCACGAGACTCGTTTTCTCAGACGGAGACGGGAATTTGAAGTGGGTTGAACGGGATGGGAGTACGCCTGTCCGCCAGTTCAACATTAATGATTTTCAGAGGGGTAAGGATGGGGAGGCTGTGACGGACCGTCACCATCACAGTAGTCTTGTTAATGCGACGCCGGATGAGGAAGCGGGGTGGGGTGATATTGTGCAGAAGATTTTGCCTACGACGAACGCTTCCCTCTTAACGCCGTATACACCTTCTTCTTCCTCCTCCTCAGAAGCACTCGGTCTGAACAATCTTGTTCTGTGGACGGGAGATGGCAAGTTGGGTCTGCTGGGCTTTGGCAAGGAACCGCCGATGGCGAGGGATGTTTTTGAGGATGCGTTGGAGAGGCAGGGTGATGGGGAGGGTGTTGGAGCTGAGGAGGGAGGGGATAAGATGAGGGAGAGAATGTATGGGGTTGAGATGAGGAGGGCGTTGGAGCATCAGGCTAGGGAGTTGAGGTGGTTGAGGGGGTATGGACTGTGAATAGGGAGGTAGAATATTCACTCAGAAAGAGCCTGGTTTGTATTGTGGTTCCTTGGGGGTGCTGGTGCCTGGTAGGTTCCTGGGTGGTACTTGGGGTCTCGCTTCCTTCAAGGTATAAGTACTTCGGCGCCTCCAGTACCTGCTCCTCAACCACCGAAAATGTCAGTCAACGCTTACGCCTCACCCATTGCTCTCGGCGACTCGAAACGCGCGAACCCAGACAAACACTCCTTCTTGGAGCTACCAGGCGAAATCCGCAATCAGATCTACGATTACGTTGTCAAATGTCCGACACCGCTTGAAGTAAAATACTACGGAATAGAGCCTTGGACTGGCGATCTGGGTCTATATTTCAACGGCCAGTCACGCATCCCGATCAATCTCTTCCTCTCCTGTCGAAAGATGTACCATGAGGCCGCTTCATCTTTCTACGCCAACAATACATTTACCTTGAAACCGGATATCAGACGTTCAACATACCACTCCTACGCTGAGATATCCAGCACCTTAATCACTCGCTTAGGCACTCAAGCCCGATGGCTCGCCAAGATGGAACTTGATGTGAGCTCCCTAGCAGATTACCGATATCGCAGATGTGACGAGGGGCTTGGCTTCGTATTCAACGATTGGACCGAGCTTTTCGATGTTACTACCCTCCTTCGCGCTATCTGGAGTCGAGACTCGCCGGTGCTTGTTTCTTTCACCAGGTCGCCGAATCCCAGTACTTTTGAGTGTGGCGCTACGACCGTGGCTGCTATCATCCAGTCCATCTGCCAGGGCCAACTTCAACTCCGTCGTTATGGACAGCAGCTGCGCGCGGTTGCGCTGAAGCGAGATGGATCTGGCGGGATACTCAACTGGGGGACTACTCCGGCTACACCTCAGCCATGGCAATGCCCAGGTCGTTTCCAAGCGAACCCTGATTATATGAACGACTTCATCGCTGAAGACAACGGTTCTCGGCTCAAGCTCATCTCGCAACGTAGCGAACCCTTAACTTTGCTCACCCTCCCTGATTCTATCCAGGGCCGCATCTTCAGCATGGTCGTACATCCCACCGAGGGTACACCCATCGATCTCGACCACGACACGAGATTTAAATGCGGTCTCGTCCATGTTAGCAGACACTTCTACAGCACTTGGCGCGACAAGTTTCTCTTCGAGAACAAGTTTGTGTTAACTATGACAACGAGGCAGATACACACGACGTTCGACGACTTCAACAATCTCCGGACTTTCCTCCGCAAGACATACATGCCCAAGTCGACCTACTCAAATGGAGAGCCAGACACCATCACCGCGAGGATCGTCAATCAGGATAAGGTGCATCGACAGCCCGGTCCATCGTACGTTCTGAGATTTGAACTCGACGGCGCAATCTCACTGGCTGATGTGCGTATCAATGCGTTACCACTCGTCATGGAGACGTCGACTACTCAAGCATCAAACACAGTCACAATCCAAATTTGTACGACCCCCGGCACCGACGGGCTACCTACTCTGACTGCGTCTCATACCATGACACTCCACCAGCTGCGACTTAAAATCGTATTAGCGATAATGCGCCACGTGTATTCCATCCCAACGTTCCACCGAGACGAACTCCCAGATCTCTGGATCAACGGCTTCGGAGACGTCGTGCCGACTCCTCCTCCTTCTTCTTCTTCTCCCCCTACTACTACTACAACTAATACCCATATACCATGCTCCCCCACCGGACCCTGGCACCCAGCCTCCACACTCATATACAACGCCGACTGGGACGAAGACAACTATTCCATCTCAGAGCTCCATCCCATCGACTACGTCTACCGCAACAACGGCTGGGGATTCCATTCACAATGTGTGTATCCGGATAGTATACATTGGCAACTGTTTCCGTTTTGTAGGAGGACAAAAGAGGTGCTGCCGTATCTTGTGCGTTGTCTGGATGAGGCGGGGTTGTCTGATGACGATGACGGGATTTTTGGACAGTGAGTAATGGTTTTTGGGTTGTGAATTGTGGGTAGGAATGTGCTAATGGGGAATAGGCTCAGAGATACGGTTGTGATGTGTGAGTGCGACTGGGGGTATTGTCCAAGAGAGGAGAGGGATAGACAGTTTTTTGAGTATGGGATTTAAGGGATTTGGGGAGGAGGGCTGGTGGAAGATATCTTACGGAGGGATGGAAAGCTTCGATTATAGTATCAAGACACTTTGAAGCCGGTGTGCAAGCATTGAGGACACGTTTACCAGCCTTGTTCGTGCTTTTGCAGTAGTATAAGAGCAAAATAGCAGTGCTTAGGTAGTTCGCATGAACACACCGGTTTGGCAGCTCCATGACTAGATTGGAGGCTATGAGTCGAGGTATGATGAGGGTTGGAGGACACAATATGTTTGAAGCGTTAAATTGAAATTCATGAGTAGAGTGGGAAGAATTCAATGCGGGTATGCTGTTGTGGAACGTGTTAGGACATCATGATGTGTGCTTAGTAACTAGCGTTCGGAAGCATTCAGGGTCTGTAGTCGTCACTCTGATTGTCGACAAACCTCACACGTCGCAATTACCAAATGTCGCTTCCTGGAGTAATTGATGTATCGCATTCCTGTCAACGATCGCGCGCATGTATGTGCGCTTCACTCGCTCGTTTCGACGGCCATCGTTGATGATGGCGTCCAAGCTCTGGACGATGCGGCGGCCCCGAGGTTGCGAGCTCACGAGGAGAAATCTACGTCACCTACGGCTACCACACACTGCGAGCGTTGCAGTGCCTTATTTGATCTCTCATTCTTTCAATGTTTCCTACTAATGAAACAGATCCCTTCGGGTCGGTAAGAGAAACGCATCACTGCCTCCAGGGTCCCGGTGCCTGGCGTACGCCGGGTCATATACACCCAGGCTTTACCTGAAGGTACAAGAAATACAACCACCCCGACCGCCTTCTTCCCAGGTTTCTGGAGATCTCAATCAACTCAACCTCCAGCAGCGCGATGGACGACCAGAAGCTCCTTCCTCCTCTCGCGCGGGGCGACTCGAAGCGCGAAAACTTGGACAAGCTTTCGATACTCGATCTGCCACCCGAACTCCGCAATCAGATTTACGGCTACTTGCTCAAATTCCACGCCCCACTTGATATATATCACGAGAGATATCGTTTGGATCAGAATGGTCGGCTACAAATGCGTCTCGGCTGCGGCGTACGGATTCCTGTAGCCCTCTTTGCGTCGTGTCGGACACTGTATCGTGAAGCAGTTTCCGCTTTTTACTCTGGCAATACCTTCGCCATAGGACTCGACGGCGGTGGCATTCTCTACCCTATACCATTCAGCCGTGGTTATAACTTTCCCATGGGATCCAACAGCTACTACTCTCCGAGTACCGCAGCCCCACATCGCGTTCCCATCGAATTGCCTGGCGCTTTCTTCGCACATCTTGGTACGTAAGCGTGCTGGCTTAAGAAGGTTGTGCTTGACCTCATGGATCTTCCGAACGCAAGCTTTTACAAAGGTAGTTCGCTCAGGTCGCTTCCCGAGGATATTGCTCATGACGATGGGCTCGCATTATTCAAAATCACGCCTGTCCTACGCGCTATTTGGAGTATAGGACGGGATATCGACTTCTCCTTTACCCACAGCAAGCGTTTGCCAATCCTAGGCCCCTCAGGTTTGGCATGCAACGCCCCAGCCATGAGCGCTATGGTTCGCTCTATTCTAGAAGGTCAGCTACGATTACGAACATACGGTCGGCTGTTATGTGTGGTAGCCCTGGACCGGAATGGCGCTGGAGGTATAGTCGGTTGGGGCACCACTAACCCCATATCGTCAGACGCGTCTCCCACACGTGGACAAATCTGCGCCGACATGTATCTCGTTTCTAGTTTTATCGCCAAGGATGGTGGCCATCGATTGGAAATGGGCAAGCGAGAGAAGCCGCTGAATCTGCTAGACTTCCCCCGCCCCCTTCTCGATCGTATCCTCAATATGGTCGTGCACCCTAGTGAAGGCTATCGAGTCAACCTGGGCAAAGATAACAAGATCAACTGTGGTCTCATTCACGTCAATCGGAAAATTCATAAACGGTGGCGCGATGAAGTACTCTTCCGGGACAATCGCTTCGAGTTAGTCTTGACGACAGACTGCGCGCGTACCGACTTCGATCAGTTCAAGCATTTGCGAAGATCTCTCAGGAAGACGTATGATACTCGTACCACCTATGTCGAGACGCGGACTCTTGTTGCCGGCGGATATCTCAAGAACAAGATGCGGTATACTCTCAAGTTCGAAGCAAATGATCTCATCTCACTCAGCGAAGTCCGCATCAACATCCTTCCCCTAATCATGGAGACGTCTACTACTCGTGGAGACGACACAGTCACGATCGAGGTCTGGGCTAGGAACAGCGAGGAAATATCCAGCCTAGCCAGTTCACATACCTTGACACTCCACGAGCTGCGCGTAAACATCGCTGCCGACATGATGAAAACCTTTTATCTGACAGGCAACAAACTCGTACCAGACTTCTGGATCAACGGATTCGGAGAAGTCGTGCAAGTCGAGGACGCCGATGAGAAGATGCCTGTCTTGGGTGGGGCTTGGGAGCCAGCTTCGGAGTTCACTGAGATCGACGACCACGGATTCAAGATACTAAGACTACATCCTATCGACATTAATTACCGAGGTAAAGAGACACCATCGAGGCCTGTTGTTCATTTTGTAAAATCTCAATTCTTTCCCTTCCGGAGGGAGGTTAAGGAAATTCTACCGTACCTCATCAAGGCCATTGAAACGACGGGAGGGCCGTGCAGGGACATGTTCAGCCGGTGAGTGTTTACTTGCGAACGATCGCTTTTTGTATACTGATGAGTCTCCAGGTCGATGATGACGCAACCATTGCATTACAAGGAGCACAAGGAGCTCAATACGGACTACGGAAGTGACGATATGGACGCTGTAGAGTAAGCTTCGAAGCTTACGGCTGAGTAAAAGGCTATCTGAGAGCATTTAAATGAAACTTTCGTAGCGTGCGAGAGAGGATTGTTCCCTAGCCCACCGAGCTTGAGCTCATACATAATCGTATGGGCCGCGATAAGGTGTACCGCGGTATGCGGACTCGGAAACACGAGTTCGACAGATACATAGCGAGAGGAATAATACAAATGATCTCGACACCTGCGAATTCTCGCGACCAACACGATATGGGGTGCGCTTTCCTTGTAACATGCGTCATAGCGTCGGTGCCACCCTTCGACCATCGCTCTATGACTCCGCGACGGTGACTCCGCATCTGTCATTTACAGCATGACCTTTTGATCCACGGCGCTCAACGACACTACAAATCTAGTCTTCATGGTACGCCGTCGCATACTGACAAGAGTAGGGTCAAGTGGTTTTGATGCAAGGCGTCTTCGATTGAAGTAGTGGGTTCATTCCATCGTGCTCGGGATGGAGAATAGGTACGCTATGTGGCATATGCGATGGATGATGAAGCGAGTGCTGGGTATCCAACCGCGCCATCTTCCAGATCGCGAGCCATCGTCTTTTCGCATATACACTCGTCAATTGAGGGTATACAGCGCCCGGCCTCATGGCTTCAAACACTCAAGTATTTACCTCTTTTCTTTCCCTACATTCACTCTCGTACTTTCCATACACATGCAACCACTGACAAAGCAATTAATAGTAGGCTCTCGCTACGCGCAGTTTCACTGAGCACGGCCAGGTCTACATTGCACCCGATATTAGTGCCTAGTGTTCTCCAAGGGAGTACTTGAGACTTCGCTTCCTACCATGTAGGACCACTGTCGCCGCCTCAACCACCTTTTGCTCAACTGCTGGAAATGTCAGCTTCAGACAGGTTGTACATGAAGTACAAGGACATGATCGACTTTGATAATCTTCCCGCGTCCATACTCGGCATGGACAACTTCCACCCCGTCTCACCCCTCCGCCTCGGACATTCGAAGTCCGCCGATCCAGAGAAGCCTTCGATTTTAGATCTTCCGGGCGAGCTCCGCAATCAGATCTTTGCTTACCTGGTCACATTTCCCTTTCCAGTGAACGTGGAGTTCGGCACTCACTATCGCATGTTCCTCAGAAGAGCCGATCGGCTTCGTTTTGCTACTTGGCTCTTCCCTCCTATTGACCTCTTCAGGTCATGCCGAACGCTGTATCGCGAAGCGGGTACTATGCTCTACTCGAACAACACGTTCCTGTTTTCGCGCTATTTTCCCAATGAACACAACGAACAAGACCTACCTGGTTCGCTTGTCGAGATACCTCGCGAGTTCTTCAGCCGTCTGGGCTCACAAGCGCACTGGCTGCGTAGCATTGTCTTAGACCTAGATCAGCTACAGCCCATGAACTGCTTCAGAGGAGAAGCTCGACTAGACCATTCTTTCGAGGCACGAGAAGCGGTGTTTGACGAGAAGCTGGAGCTTTTCGAGGTTACTCCTCTCCTGCGAGCTATCTGGCGCCTCAATGCTGACGTGGACGTCACCTTCACGCAGAGCTTTGGCCCTCTCAATGTGCATGATAAGAAATATGTTCAATATCACGCTTCATCGCTGACTGCTGTCATGCGGTCTATTCTTCAGGGTCAACTAAAGTTACGACAATATGGAAGGCTGGTTGCTGCTGTTGGTATAAGACGAGATGCATCCGGAGGGATTATCAATTGGGGTACTACAAACTACGACCTTCGTGGTGGACATCCGCAAAGGATCAGGGTTCTTCCTGGTCCAGAACATATGTCTACCTTTGTGGCGGAAGACGATGGATCCCGACTCAAGCTAGTGAGCAGCAATCAAGCTAATCTACTCGCGCTGCCTGGACGCTTACGTGAGCGCATCTTTAATATGGTCGTCACCCCTGTTGAAGGAATATCTATCGATCTCGACAAGGAGACTAAGTTCAACTGTGGCTTGCTGCATACGAACCAAGAGATCTACCAGCGCTGGAGGTCTTCATTCCTTTACCAGAACAACTTCGTCCTTACAACAACGACAACAACGAGCGATACGCGTACCACATTCGATAACTTTGACAAGTTGCGGCAGTTTCTCCGCAAGACGTACAAATTCATCGGCTACGGCGGCCATGAGTCAACGACGACGATTGGGACAGGGGGCCATTCTCGCCGGGGGACTGGCGTAATATATATCCTCAAATTTGACCTCAATAGGCCAGCTACTTTGAGCGATATCCGCATCAAGATCCTTCCTTTTGTAATGGAAACCTCAACCACATCGCCCAGTCAGGAAGTGACAATCCAGATATGGGCCCCAACACCCGGAGGATCATCGGCCATGACAGCTAGCCACACCATAACCCTCCGCAAGCTGCGACTAGATGTCGTAAAAGCCATTCTGGACTATGCGTTTGCAGGACCCTACGACTGCAACCCATATTTACCCGACTTCTGGATCAACGGGTTTGGAGAAGTCGTCGAGACCCTCGATCGTTCGGGCGAGGACACGGGTAGTGCCTGGAAGCCTGCCTCTGAACTCGTGTTTAGCCCAATATACCACTCTGTTGTTAATCTCCATCCTATCGATCGGAATTATCGAGGGTGTGAGGTTAATCCGAGGTGCGATTTCTACGAAACAAAGCAGTTTTTCCCTTTCCGCGGCAAGACAGAGGAGGTTTTGCCGTATCTTATGAGTACGATGGAGCCTTATCCTTGGTTTTTCAAGAAGTAAGTTGTTGTGTCCTTGTTTCTTTGGCTGTCTTGGTGGTTTTACTGACGGGGTGTAGTTTGAAGGCTCCGCCGTTCCGGTGCAGCTGTGAGGAGTTCTGTCCACTCGATGATATCGCAAGCAGTAAAAATGATGACTAGGACGAATAGACAATTGCAGCAGTGTTCTGTAGATAGGTGGTTAGGTGAAGGCGGGTTTTGCAGAGTTGAAAGATCGATGCGGAGGCTCATCTAGGTATTGCTTCAAATCTCTAGGATATACGCGTTCCAGTCAGCATGACTCCTCGAGCCCGCTAGCTATGACTCCAGGTCAATGACTGTGCGCGTGTCATTCACGTACAGCCACATCATCGGCTCATCTATATCTTCTGCAATGGGTATGGAGTTCAGCATTTGGAGTCTTCTCACACTTCATCCGCGATGCATGTCATAGCTATGAGTGAGTGCGACGCCCAGACGATGAGCTTTCATGCATGTACTTTCCTCTACCGACAAACTTCCTCTCTGTGTTCTCTAGGTATCTTGTTTACACGGAACTACATACCATGCACGATATTACAACGTCTGTCGATAGTCAACAGTCAAAACCCGCCGTACCCAATACCCCATCTTTCCTCGCCCTCCCCGCCGAACTCCGCAACAAGATCTATCACCACCTCTGTCACCGACCCTCCCCAATCCGCCTATACTTCTACCAAGATCCCAGAAGCAACTCGCCTAAACCTGTCGTGCCATATGCATCCAACACCACAATACCCACCGCCTTCTTCTTAACCTCCCGACAAATCAACGCAGAAGCATCATCAGTGTTCTACTCCACCAACACCTTCCTGCTGAACCGAACAAGCCAATTTGCTACTTTCACGCGCCCGTGTTTCGTCAGCGCGCTCGTCAAATTCTTTGATACTGTGGGTTCGAGAGCCGGGCTCGTGAGAAATATTGTGTTTGATACTTTTACCTTCCCAGATAGTGTATTTCTCTATACTTATCTGGAAAGAAAGGCGAGGGTCTTTGATACTAGAATGGATGTTGTGGAAATTACGGTGTTACTCCGGGTGGCTTGGAGTCGCGGTCTTGACTTTGAGATTAGGCTTATCGATGTGGATGATGTGGGTGTGGAGGGAGAGAGGGCGGAGTATTGGATGGGGAATTTTGAGAAAGAATGCTCTAAAAAGATTATCAGTGTCGTCAACGCACTGCTCGCGGGGCAGTTGGGGCTTAGGGAGAAGAGCGATGCGGTGCGTGCCGTGGCGGTCAAGAAGGATGGTTCTGGAGGCTTAATTTGTTGGACTGACGCTCCCAGTGATGGTCAGAAGGCTACACTGCCTCGTTGCCATTGCGGTCCGATGACCAAGTTCACTGCAAAAAGCGGAGGCAAAGAATTGGAACTCGCCACATTTGCCCCTCTCTAGCTTTGCGGGAGCAGCAAATCTAGCGTTTCAATTTAGTCTCCAGATCAAGGCTACAGCATTGCGAGCAACCGTGTGGGAACTTCTAGTCTCTACCCCCTATACACTGTGGCGAGATTGAGTCTCAGCAGCACTCGCGCTCACAGCAGAGCTTTCAACCAACCACCTCGTCCACTCCACCCACCAAGCTAATTTCTCGATCCCGACGAGAATTCAAAATGCCTCCATATACTATCCCCTCGCCTATAGCCATAGTAGGCGACTCAAAGCCGATAGACACAAGCAGACACTCTCTCGTCAAGCTGCCCGCTGAGATTCGAAACAAGATCTATGGATTTCTCGTCGAATACCCAGAGCCGATCATAATTGACCTCGATCTCTCCCCAGCCAGGGACGTCTATAGATTTTATCTTGGTGCAGGATTTGAAATGCACAAGGGCCTGTTTTTCGCGTGTCGGACTACCTACCTCGAAGCAGCTTCGTTATTCTACGCCAACAACACCTTCGTTATCGTTCCAGCCAATCTCAAAAACCGTGGTACCATCGAATATCTTCTAGGTGTCTACACTGGATGGCTCCGGAAACTGGGGTCTCAAGTGTACTGGCACCATAAATTCTCCATCGATCTCTCCCAAGGCGTCTTAGACAGACGAATAAGCTTCAGACTATACAACCAGCAAAGGCCCGAGGCTTTCAACATAGGACACTTACTTCACTTCCTTTGGGAATGTAACCTTAAAATAGACATCACTTTCACCAACACCGTGTCCGCGAACGACCAACGAAGTACTTTCAATCCTACAACGATAACGGCTATCACAAAGTCCATTCTCGAAGGCCGACTCATGCTCAAGGCGTCTCGGCGCCATATCGCGTCAGTCGCAATTGACTACGATGGCACCGGAGGCGCATTCGGCTGGAGAGAGGCTGATGACTTTGACCGCTGGCCTCGGGTAATGATACCTGCACACGATCAATACCATAGGTTCACCGCTGAGGACGGCGGGCGACGGCTCGCTCTGGTCCGTCGAAGGCCGACTTTGATTGTCCGGCAGAGCTCGTAGAAAAGCGAAGAACAAGAGAGAATGGGGTGTGGCGCATGGAAAAGGGAGTGTGTTGGTGGGATAGTGGATCGCGGTACCTAGTCGAACATGTAGCTGTGCCGAGGTAACTACACGATTTAATGAGAATTTCTTTCTTTACGGCAGCAAAAAGGTCCATTGATGCGCGCATAGTGCAGGCCATGAACGTGGATGGGCGACCCTGGCCGAGGAGTGAGTGACATTGAATTCAGTTGCGGAAATTCAGCATTGCCATTGGCATCTTTCCTCGCTTATCCTGCTCCAGATCAGATAGCATTCGTTAGTACGATTGTAGCTGTCCCGAGAAGCCCGAGCTTTTCCAAATGTGAAGATACACTAGGTACGTAAGGATCGACATTATCTTCGTCTAAAGACCAAGGGCAAGATTCATTGATCTGTAAGACTGAAGGCTGCAGTGTGGCGCGATGTTGTATAGCCCAATACATTCCCTTTACCCTAGATGTACTTAAGGGCTCGCAGACTTTGCCTGACTCCTTGCACACACTCTACTCCTCTCAACCACATCGCTTCAGATCAAGGAACGCCATCATCATGGCAACTAAGCATTCAACTGCCCTCAACGCCCTCACTAAGGCTCATCCTAGAGTTCCCTTACCACTATCAGGCGGCGAATCGAAGCCGGCGGATCCGCGCAAATATTCTCTCGTCACCCTACCCGCTGAGCTTCGCAACAAGATCTTCGGGTATCTCGTCGAGTTCTCCGAGCCCGTCAAGGTCACCTTCCGACGACATTTTGAATATAGCTCTGAGCGCATAAGCTTCTCGCTCCAACCAGAACATCAGCGTCAGATGAGCTTGCTTCTGACATGTCGGACTATTTACTCGGATGTGGCTTCGGCTTTCTATGCCAACAACAAGTTCCTCATAGCTCCGGACAGCTACCAATACTCACAGCGTAGTAAGGCGACTGCGGACGAGATTGCTGTATTGTTTTTCCAGCGACTGGGCTCGCAGGTTCATTGGATCCGTAAAGTTATCCTTGATATTACGAGTAGGCCGTGGGCCTTGAACCTCGATAGATGTGCATTCCCGTACACATACGACGTGTTTGAGGTCGGCATACTTTTGAGATTCCTCTGGCACCACCGCCTCGCTATCGACGTCGCTTACTTGCAAGCCAAGGGAGCTTCCCTGGATGCATGTAATCCTCCAGCGATGACCCGGGTCATGCGGTGTATTCTTGAAGGCCAAATAATGCTAAAGGCGTCTCGCAGTCAGATGCTCGAGATTGCAATCAAATATGACGGCTCCGGTGGTATGTTCCGTCTGGGTAAAGCACTACCTTCTGGCGCACCAAGCCGATTTGCACCCGATCGCGAGCTACAAATCTACAGTTTTGCCGCTGAGGATAGTGGACGGTGCCTTACCTTGACAAAGCCGACGCCCCCTACCTTGCTGACCTTACCCGCTCATCCCGTACTCTCCAAGATCTTTTCCGAGGTTCTCAGTGAGCGGGAGAAAATCTGCATCGATCTTGCTGTGGACACAAGCTTGCCAGTTAACTTCACTCACGCCAACAGGCGACTTCATGAGACCTGTTGGGCAAGCTTGCTACAAGCCGCATCATACACATTGCTGCTTCATTCAAGAGAGAAGCGCAGTACGTTCACTAACTTTAGCAAACTCGCTCGCATCTTACGTCGTACATTTACAACTCCCGAGGATCCCGGACAAAAATACCACGGGATATCAAGGCCTTTGCGGTGGTCAACGCCCCATTGGAAGCTCGGGGACTCACAAGAGCTTAGCGTTGTGCTGGAGTTCGACTTAGCAGATCCGACCGCCTTGGAAGACCTGCGCATCAGCGTGCTGCCCTTACTCTTGGAGACATCTTCGTATTGGGGTGATCGCACTGTCACGATCCGTTCATTGACCTCTACACCGGGTGGCCGTTCCCTTTTCGCCGAGCAAACAATCACGTTTCAAGAACTTAGACTGAACGCTTTGAATGCGCTGAATGACACATTCGGTGAGACTGTTGGGTACGCAGCTACTACGTTGTGGATAAACGGGTTGGGAAAGGTCGTCGAGACAGAGTTCAGTCGTTTCTCTAGCCCATATCGCATCCAATACGATCCGGCAAAAGCATCCGGGGGAGTCGGCGGTAGGAAATCGCATAAAGTGTCCTCTATTTACCCAAAGAACCAGTACTTCCACGGACAAAAGACCCGACACGACTGCCGATCAAAAGATTGCAAGCAGCTGTTCCCATCTCAGTACTCCGCGGCAACGGTACTAGAGTATCTCGAGGAGATCTTGACCAGATATGACGTTAAGAATAAACCTGATTCGGGCAATGCGTAAGTATACAATATCTTCCACTGATGGAACGAATCAACTGACAGTTGTTAGCAAAAAGGAGAAGTACCTACTGGGACAGCTGTGTCCGGTGGAAATTAAGGGCCTAAGCCGGGAAGACGACGCACTGTGGAAGGCTAGGATAGATCGAGGTTTTCTTACGTTGATGAATACCAAGTGTGGCTACTGAGTGT